ACTACAACATCAATCTCTTCCGCATTGCGTTCAATAACATTAACATATTTAAATAAGCTATGGTAATTTGAACACGTTGGCATCATCCAGCTTTTTGATTGGTTAATTAGCGATTTGACCTATTTGACCTAAGAGAACATGGCGGATATCCTACAGCATCAAACGTTTATACGAGACCGGAATCATTCGCTTACGATGAAACTAAGTTGACTTTTATTTGTATTTCATAACCATTCAACAAATTTATTTTGTGTACATTATTATAATCACTACTGAGTACAGTAATAATCAACAATTCAGAAACGCAGCATGCCGAGATTTTTGTGTTCGTTTTTATTTGAAACTTCGTTTATTTAGAATATATTTTCGTTACCAATAAAATAAAAATCTCTCAGTCAATCAGAAACCCGGATTCATGCCTTCGAGGAAGGTCCCGTTTGAACGCTCACATCGTTTTTTTTTTCGTTTGGGGGAAAACTAAAACTGGTCACAATTTTCGAATAAGAATGAGTCGGCAATTTTTAGTGGAGTCGAAAATTTGGAGGTAAATAAAACACCGAAACCCGGCAAATAAATAGGCGTTCGAATTTTTTGATTGTAATTAGTATTTATTGATTTTCAGCCCCCAAGTGACTGTGCATGCAGCCACAAGCTTTACTTCTTTAACAAGTCATTGTGAATGACAGTCTCTGTTGGAATTAGGGGAAATGTTATTCATGCCAAAAATAAAGTTGCAGACCAAAAGTATAGTTAGTAATTGAGAGTGAATAATTGGCTGGTCTGGTATCAACATAAATTAGATGTATTAAATTACTCTTCCAAAATCAAAATATATGGTCAGAAATTAAACAAGATAAGCAATCCATGCATTTTTTTGTCTCCAAACTGAATTTCATTTGTCTGGGCTCATGTACAGATGATAGTAGTATGATCAAAAAGCAAGATTACAGGAAGTCAACCATCTTTGATCAGATTGTGAAACTAATTGTCATGGACATGTATTGTGGGGAGATTCATTTGATTAATTGATCTTTATTCATAACCATGTTTTCTTCGTATTTCATTTTTTGCATGTAATGCTATGAGAAACTAGCACACCCAGTTTTAATTTGACCAATATTTGTTTCAAACCTCAGAGTAAACCCCATATTCATAATCGGGCAATGAGAATGCCTCCCGCCCAATAAATTGTTACTCGACTCTATGGCAACATTGTATGTTTTTGCGCTCGTTTTGAGCAGTTGCGTTTCAGTTGTTTTTGAGTTAAAATCTGTATTACATTGTTGAAGAATAAACAAGATTGAGTTCTAGTTTATATGACGTGTTCGTTTCAATTTTCATTACCGTAACTGAGAAGCTCTGAATCATCCCTTTCCACCACATGTATCATAACACATATAATTTGAAGAAAATAAAATTTGTCAACAATACATTTTGAAAAAACAAGATGGCTGCCAATTGGTCAGTTCGGATTCGAACACAAAACAAATCATCAAGAACATGTATCTCAACATAAACAATGTTTGTATCAAATTTGAACAAAAAACGACAAATCCTGTCGAAGAAACCACATTTTTTCCAAAAAACAAGGTGTATGTGAGCCGGCTAACTAATATGAACATGTATTCCTATATTTATGATGTATGTGCCAAACATGAATGAAAATGGACTAAAAGCTTGGTGATATAGTTGTATGGTCAAAAAGCAAGATGGCCACCAGTTGGCTATCTTTAATCCGATCGTAAAACACATTTTTCGTGGACATGTAATCTAAAACTTACATTGCATGTACCATATTTTAACAAAAACTGACAACATGCATAAGATAACACACTATCAAAAAAACAAAATGGCTGCCAGTCGGCCATCTTTGATTCGATCATAAAACAAATTGTCATAGACATGTATCCTAACATGTATATAAATGTATGTACCAATTTTGAACAAAAACTGACAAAGCATGCATGAGATACCGCATTTTCAAAATCAAAGAAAGCTTAGAAAGAACTCCCATGTGCTGAGAGTATTGGAGACGCATTAAATATAATTTGAAATTACTTAGCTGAAAACTAATTATGCAAATCAGAAAATTAACATGAACAGATTTGATTGTAAAACTAATGAGGTCTGCACAATATAACAAAAACTCTATGTACCAAGTTTAATTGAAATGTGATTAGAACCAAAAAATCATGAATTATTATGCTAATTAGGGAAATAATATGAACAGAGTTTTACCCCAAACTAATTAGGTTTGTACATTGTCCTAGAGCATCTTTGTACTAAGTTTCATTAAAATGGAAATTAGTACTTTAGATATCAGTGTGAAAGCTTAAAATTGGTTAATTATGCAAACTGGGTAATTAATATGTACAGATTTTAACCAACAATTATCCAGGTCTGTCTATTGTCCTACAGCATCCATGTATAAACATTCATTGATATGTGATGATTAGTAC